GCCCATGGAACCGACTGTGTATGTATATTCATTGATAATCATACGCCAGATGTGACTTTTCTACTCTGTCGATCGATTTGTCCAAATCGACTGAGTGATCTTGACCATAAAGCTAAAAATCAAGCGGTACAGTAGAGCTCAATAACGAATAACGAAGCTGGTTCAATTCAAGAACACGGTCATAGTAATTTGTTATATTTGGTCACCGTTCACCTGATTTCAAATAATAAAGTACCGTTTAACCGTGAAAAAGATGGCGCTCAAATTCATTCACGGTGAAGGCCTGCTTGAAATTTTAAACATTAAACGCTTCTAATAATGTGGTAAGGTCCATTAAACGGCTCAAATGTGAAGAGAGTAAGGCCGATGTGATTTCTGAACTCAGGTGACATGATGTGGCTTAGGTAAATAACGAGTTTGGTAAAAGGCAACACAGGATTTGCTTTCAAAAGGTCAAGAACTCAAGGTAAGCATTACATCAACCGGTTGTATCATTGACTTTTGTACCATCCATTCATCTCCCCGATTTGTTCGTCACAAAGACGCATTTGATTGACCATAGCCCCCTCCTGAAAACTCACTGAACAATTGAACTTTTAATGAATAAACTGGGAACTTAAGAGATTCACATATCGAGCTGTTGTTTATCAGGAAGGTTCTAAGAAAATCCTAATTCATAAATTTCGTATAGGTCTTTTGTTTTTGTTAATTTCTCAATTGAAAAACAAAATATCAATATCGTCAGTCGTTTTGATCACCTAGTCATTTTTGTGTAACTGATGTAGACATTGCAGTTGTCAGCTGGGTTAAATCAAGAGGAGTTAGAAATCTTTTTCAGTTTTTACAACCAATAACCATACACTTTCGTGCGCCGGTTTTGGTTTCTGTTTCATGCCTCATGGTTCAAGTGCACTTCATCTGAAATAAAAAGGTATACTAAAGTTTTTACTAAGAGAGTGCTGCAGGTAAAAAAGTTATTATCGCCCTAGAAATCAGTGTATTGAGTTCACTCAAACAGACACTGTTTAAGCACAACACAAAACAAAATGATAATTATCTTTGAATAAAATTTTAAAAGATACAAAGGACTACTGATATCCGCGCTTTGATGGGACTAATTCTCCATACCATAGTATTGATTAAAAACCATAGATGAATTCAGCCTTTGTGGGTGTTTCTCTTAATAGACACTACAGAAAAGACTTAGTGCCAACGACAGTAATTTTTTGCGTTTTTGATGTTTCAGTACAAGATTATGTATCTAAACAAGATTCTAGAAGTCAGCCAAATAAATACCATCCCGGATATCTTTGAAACAAGACTAACTTGACCACATGTTGCTCTCTCACACAATCTGAAGCGCTGATATGCTTGACTTGGACTTTCGTGTTCCTTGGGGTTTTGAACAAAGTATCTTTGCAGTAACCGATTATCAACAAGGAGCAAAAAACCTTAATATATTAACATACCCTGAGATTGCTCTATCGCACATATCCCATTCTTTCAAAACTCATCAAAGATCCTAAGCTTTCTGTTAGTGAGTTCTCATCCTCTGAAACCTTCATAGCTCAGCATAAATGCAAGTAGGCGGGATATTATATGATCTGTTCTCGTCCTGTAGAGTTTTATGCTTATGTTAATCATTTTTTTTTCAGCCACGCACTGGGAAAGCATGCTACCACATCTGGTTGGTGCAAATGGACAGAACTTGGGCGAGTGTTCAGTGCCCGAGGAGTACTTGAACCAATTTGGATTTTCAATTTTGGAGTATCAGCCGGAGAGTAAGTCACTGCTCATCCAGGGAATAGGTCTTAACTGAAAGAGGTTAACTTGTTGGCCTGCATTAAGATTAACCAGACCGACTTTCTGAGAAAATGGAGGCAATGACGCTGGCAATGTATATGAGACAAAGTCCATTTATTGTCTAAAATTTATTTCTCAACAAAATAAAACTTTCATGTGATATATATCCAATCCGCAAGACGACTACTGGATGATAGGATTGAAATCAATACCTGGCTCTAAATCGAAGCAGTTTTCCTGTAGCAAAATCACTCCGTGCAGTCTACGGAATAAGTCACCAAGTATGTTTCCTTGCCCGGATTCAAGTCCTGATACCAAAGACGCAGTATTCCGGTAACTGCCGTAGGTACGACCTTATGCACAGCAGTCTGCACGAATTTATGATCAATCTTTGGCCCATTTATGATCTTGACTTGCATCTAAAATGAGCGTTTGCCTGAGAAGAATCACATCATTTTGCAATGCCAAAAGCAGCGAATAAAGTGCATATAGTTGAAAATATATACCGTGCCTTCAATCTTCCCGTCTATCCCTTTTTGGCTATATCAATACTCCGGGTGATCAAAACCATTTGGATTTCTATAAAATGATATCTCGATACTGAGCGCATATCGTTGAAAAGAATCTACCAAAATGTGTGTTTAATTTCTCTCTCTCTCTCTCGATGCACCAATTACATGCAACTAGTCGTGGTAGTGATCATGAGTGCGTAAAGGTCTGTGGCAAACACTTGAAATTATCTGGACCGTCCTTTGTCTGTTTACGTGAATCAGTGGTCGCACGCCAATCATATGCAAATCACATCGCCTTTCTGGTTGGTCCTCTCTCTCTCAGTGATTATGTATCTTGCAATCCACTAACCATAGACTTGACCTGGGATGCAAAAGGGCCGAACGATGTGTCATACCCTGAAAAAGGGCAGGTGTAATTACATGCGGTTACGGGAAGGTGCGTACTCACAATGTGGACTACGGGAAAGGGATTGAGAGTTACCTACTGGGATGTGTGTCACACACCACAGAGAGGTGACAATCGATCCGGGTTTTTCACTCGCGGTTGATTAACTTTCATGCGCTGAGTGCTTCAAACAAGCCAATGATACCGGGGGATCGTTTAATCAGAGAACCTGGTATGACCGCGTCTGACGCGATATTGGCATATATATACTATACTATATATACTATAAACTATACTATACTACTACTATACCATATATATATACTATATGTACTAAATTACTGTCGCACCCAATGTTAGCTTTTCCCGTTTCAGGGATGAATTCCAAATACCATAATGAATATTCAACTAGCATAAACTTCAATTATTAAGATCCAGATGTATCCGGTTTAGTTATTCGGACGTCTACACCGACCGGTTAGCACCGGTGCATTGGCAGGTAAAGATTCGTACGGGTTCATGTTCGTGTATGTGTGCGCGGAATGCCTACGGAAAAAAGTATCGGTTGAGCATCAATCCGTGCCAAATACACATGGTCTGACACTGGTGTGTGTGTGTGTGCCTTCAACTGCTTACAATCGAAGTTGAACCGGGTGAAGACTGATCAACCGATATGACTCGGTCAACTGGCCATTCATGTTACAGACAGCCTGGTAGTGTGTGTGTGTGTCAGTTCATTACGGTTCGGTTCTCTCTCTCACTGTTTTTCTCTACCCTTGTACACCTGTTGGTATGACTGACTGATTGACCGATAGATAATTGCTTCCTGTTTCATTCGGTTCTCTCGCTCATTTTTTTCCATCTACACGGTAGTTAGCATCGGTAGCACGACTAGGACCGGATGAACTAGTAAATCGTCAAATGGGCCTGTTTAAATAAGAACAGTGTTTCTAACCTGTCTATAATATATATATATATATAATCTACACCCTCGAAGTTCACCATTTTTACCAATACCTGTGCATATTGAACTTAGATTCGTTATATGTCACACATCTCCTTGTTGATTTCGAGAATGTTTCCACAAAATTCCGTGATTGCCCCTTTCGTTACGGAACCTATGTTCTAATCATTTATTTCTATTTTTTCCTATTATATATATGTCGCATCCACAGATATGTTGCAAAAGATGAGCCTCGACCGGGTGCATAAAGCTATTGTTCACTGAACTGATTTGAGTTGAACTGACTCGATTCTATGAGCAAACCTCAACCCGACTGAGTACCGCTGTCCTTAGTTATTGTTACATTTACCAATTCGTGATATCAACGTTGTTGTTGATCCATTAATGAACTGCATTAACCGTATCTACCCATGTACATGATTGTGCTCACAGACCTTTCAATCGAGAACAACCCAGCTGTCCACATACCCTTGGATTAGTTCCATAATACCTGGTTGGAGCAACAATGTCCAGGTTCGAGTGCTCACAAGAACCTCACTAAAATTAGCTGTTCCTGTACGATTATGTTTCTTCTTGATAAATAGTTGTTTGATTCACATGTCAGTTAGCACTTTGTCTGTGACCCTCTCCCTTTATCCCCTATAAATTAACTTCACATTTTTTATCAGAATATCGACTGAAACGATCAACAACTAATAACAAGCCCAACAACAACAAACGCGGATCCGAGTCCCGCACCGGACGGGATGTGACCATTGAACGTTTGGACGATCCCGAAAGTGAGGTTGACATAGATATTCCCCTGGCTTCATTCTCGAGCACCGGTTCAGGACACTCGTCTGGTTCTGCATTCCAGCGGACCGAACGTGGACGAATTCAGTTACGTTGTCCTCCACTCATTCAGACCCCGTCGACGACCAACACGGTGACACTGCCAAATTGGCATCATTGTGTGGAAATCCGATGCAAAGTGGCTAGACTGGAGAAAGGTGACACTGTTCGTCTCCGTTGGTCCGGCTGGTTGTGGGCGGCCACGTATTTCGAGTTACACACACCAGATGTACAACTTGTTAGCCGTTTGCGTGTTGCAGATTGGGGTCAACGTCCAGATTCAGTTCGTTTCTANTGGCTGATCGTCAGTCGGAACCGACCCGCTTGGAAGATCTAATTGAGCTTGACTATCCGGAAGAGACACCGTCATTTGAACTAAAGCAATCGATTATATTCCGAAACGTGCATCCAGATGTAATTCATCAAGTTCCTTGGTGGCCAATTGTCGTTGGAGTGGTTGTGGGAAGTCTGCTATTGGCCGCGCTTGGTGTGTGCTGTTATTGCTGTGGTTTCTTCCGACGTAAGAAAATTCCCGGAAAAACCGATGCAAAGCAGACTCGAGGTCATCGTTCTTCTTCCAAAGATCGTCTTCTTTCTAGCAATGGAGATGAAATGGACAATACCGGGAGGCCAGGTGTTCCCAGTTTCTTACCCACTAAGCCTCCACAGGCGGCAACAACAAGAAAATCTTATGCCGGTAGACAAGGTAAAACACACAGGAAAGTTCCGGATCAGACGGAATTTTTGGTCCAGGCCAGTCCAAATTTGTTGTGCGCTGAAGAGCCTGAACCTCCCTCTCCCAGAATACCCCCATCTTATGTAGCTCCACCGGGTTGGGAGGTAGAGGATGATGAAGAAGCAGGTCATGAACACTGGTCAGGGGTCGTAGATGAATCGACCACATTCGAAGATGACACGACAAAACAACATGGAAATGATACATCCAGCTCCACGGCGCCTGTAGCTCCAACCACTGAATGCGATCGGTTCGAAAAAACGGAGGAACAACTCGAAAATGTCACCTCAAAAGGAAATGAGGAGAGGATAAATATTGATCAGCCTAAGGATTCGAAACACTCTACAGAAAAAGATAACAACGCCACGGATCAAAAGCAAGAGGAATCGGATGGACGAAATACCCCGGGAAATTCCACTAGTGAAAATCCGGAGCAAAACAATCAAGGTGAAACAAGTACTTTGTGATCGCAGACTAGATTCAACCTTTCTTCAGCCTATTCTACTTTACATCACTCTGGCTCACTTCGCCTCCATCCTACTCCAATCTACTTCACCACCTTTCTCTAAAACAGGACCCCCAATGGGTTCCTCTCTACTACGGTCAGTACTTATCGATCGAATCTGAAATGAAATTTCCTATTGTTTTCTGTTTTGCGTTTTTTCTTTGAGCGTGCCCGTGTATGTGTACTTTATTGTGAATATATATGACTCTGTTATCCCTCCACATCTTCCCCTTGGATAGCTGTTTTTATTCTTATGCTTAAGCTTGCTCATGAGCTTCATTTTCTTGTACGATATTCCGTTTTTAAAGCTCTAGGTTGTTTGTCTCCATATATTATTGAAATGAAGATTCGAAAAAAATATGAAGGAATAAAGTGTAGATTTTGTATTTTATCTCGGTCCATTCAAGGCCATTACAGCGGGAATGCATTCACAAATCTGTCTAGTGGAACGCTTCCAGTTATGAAGCAGCCGACGGAAAGGTATACATGAGCAAGCTTCTTGCTCCATGCTCAAGACTGAAAACTGTTATAATAGCACTGCGTCCAATAGACTGCGAAATGTATACTAACGGGCCACACGTAGCGCATTTTATCGCAAATCGACTCGCAATCCATTTTTGGCTCATCCTTAACCTTTGTTGCATCCAACTATTATATGTATTGCGCATTGTATTTCGTTTATACAGTCCTATGGGTCTTTCACTTCGAAATTTTATCAAACGTAGTGTGAACATAACTCCTTTGTGGAGGTTAGTAATTTTTGGCAGGACTATGTAAGTTAACAACTATGCCATTGGACGTCATGAAAAATAGTGAGTCCATAAATAATGTACGATATTCACAACTTTTCATGTCAAATTAAGTCGACTAATATCTCCGAAATGTTGAACCCTGTCATAGTTGCTTCAGGGTATTTTCCGTCAAACTGAAGCACATCCTTCAAGTGAAATAAGCCTAGATGTAAAACCGTCGAATCATACTAAGCTACAGTATCTCAGCACAGGATCAAACCCGACTGGCATAATTTAAACGTGCTATGAGACGTTGTTTACCCGAACCAGGATGAAAAACTGGGTTGTGAAACAAGTGCATCCCACCAAGCAGTCCGGTGCTTCTAAGAATGTGTGATCCTTTTTGGGCAGTATTGAATCGACCAAATCATGCACCCGTTGTGTACGGGGTTTGCGCTCCCAGAATGACTAATACACCACATAGCCTAGCAGTATCTGTGATTGCAAGTCTGTAGTAGGATGCAGTATAGTCAGTTTACATGAATCTCTCTGGGAGATTTGGAAACAATAGTTTTGATGTGCCCCAGATCTGTCGACAGTCGGCGATCCATCAGTTGACGGGTGGACAGGTAGTGATTAAATAAATGGTGCAGCAACTTCACTTTTCCAGTGTTCCCATGTTTCAATGTATTTGTTTTGAAAATTCCGCAATAAGTATGCATTCGACCATACAACCTTTTACCTTAAAAGATTAGAGGTATATTGCGTACGAATAAAAGTTATTTACGTGTCCTGTTCCGGTTGCAGATGTTAGATAAATATATTTGGTTTTTCTATTGCTTTGCCTCACCAAGGCCCTTTCGTAGTTTATTGTTAGCTTGAAATGGAGGAAAATTAGACGGCAAATTTAGTGTTTCCGGAGAATGAGCATAACAAACGACTACAGTACAATTTTCCCGTGATTGTTCAATCTCCTATACAGTGCAAACCGAATTACATACTCCACCTCTCCGTTCTAACGCAGGATCAAGTGTGAGACATATGGTGTTCGAAACAAGCATGCAAAAGTTGGTTGTGCTATATAGTGCACGGATAATAGTGAACAGATGAATCAGCTAACTTCTGAATGCTCAAGGGGGAGGAGGGTAGTGTGTTTGCCTGCTATCTGGAAAGTACCGATCGATGGATTCATATTGCTAATAAGACCCTGGAAAGATGAAATAAATTTACAGGTTGTTTGACTTTGCTTATTACTTACGTTAGTTCCATAGTAAAGGACTATTCTCAAACTGTGCGGGTGGATTCTCTTTGATGGAATCATCATTACTGTTTTTGTTATTATAAATGAATGGGATATGAACAAATAAATTTATTATAGGAAATTAATTAGATCTCAGGAACTTCGTTTTATGTTTGCCTTTTTACTTTCTTCCTTTGATTACAGAATGGTTTGGTTAATTTTCAGTAATTGGGAGTCTGTCGGTCAAAACGATGTCATGTAATGCAAAACGAGAGTAAATTAAGGACGCGGGGATAAGATTAGGCCACAAGTGTGTGGAGGGCAGTATTGTACCCCTGGCCGCTCGGTCATCGTCACTGCTGCTCGAATAACTGAAAATTTTCTTTCTTGCACACACAACTAACCTGTGTGCTGCGATAAGATTTATAGATAATGATGGGTTGAGATGTACAGAATTCATCTTGTCTATCCAAAATATCAGCTTCAAAAGCACCGTCTGCTTCAGGCGAACGACACGGAGCAGAACGATGCTTCAGAAAAACTAAACAAGATAAGGTGAGTAGTGCATCTATTACAATAAGAATACTGTCAGCAGTGCCAAGTGATTAACGAATTCTAGTATGATTAGAATACCCGGTAATTGACGCTATGGATGACAGTAAACAATAAACGGAGTAGCTTGAGTGAGCAACAATCTGAATCATCAGAGACGAAAGACTTCCTCAGGATCACCTTATTGTAAATATTTGCCGACCAACCCTTGAGATTAAAAGTACGAAAATGCTAACACGCCCATCCGTTATTACGACCTAGCGCCTCATTGATGCTCCGATTGAGCGAGATGCAGCAACAAAGCACCGTTATTTGTGTTCATGTGCTAGATCCCAACAGAGGTCTAAATCACTCCCCGGACAGTTCTACGTTCTACGACCTAGCACTCATCAAATGATTCTGAATTCAGATGAGATGTGGACTAAGTAACTCAGGCTGATTAGGTTTGCTGATCAAGTGAATAGTACGTTTGCATCTAACCAGTGGGAACTGGTATTCGATCCTCCTCGAGGTCACACCGTTGAGAATACCCATTACAATAAGAAACATCCTATAATACATCCTGGGGTCCCGCTTCGGGCTTTCTTTCTCATATACCAAATTTTCTTATCAATTAACTTTTACGGTGCATATTCAAAAGAGACAGACAAACAAACAATTAAACACAAATCACTTTAGATGGTAAATGTATGGATTAACCCATACGGTTTTTCACGGGCACCAGGCACTGTTGAAGTGCCGACCCAAATAGTCACGGTTCGAGTCCTGACAGAGGCACAAAAGGTACGCATTTTTGATGAGTCCCAAACAGGACGAAACAGCTGTCCAGTTCTCTTTGTCGGTTATCACATACATTTCCATACATTTTCTCGTTCAAACCACACACCCCTTGGAAATTTGAGTGAAAATAAAACATACACAAAATGTGGCATGGAAATAATTATTCTCAAAGATTCATTAAATAAAACGAGTAGGTTGATGAGGATGGTAAAACGGGGAGCAAAGAATGGCTCGTGCATTTGTTCACGCGATATTGTTTGCTGAAAGAGTCATTTTATCAGATCACGTGGAACTGTGTTTAGGCTGACCATCTCAACTAGTGTGTACGTGTGTATGCGCATCTGCTTAATGTCAATAAAGATATGGTCAACCGCGATGTTTACATTCATTATCTTTTTAAATTATTCCCAGAGATTTTTCTTAGGAACTGTTCATTGGGACAAAACATCAAAAGGATGGTAGTTATTTTCCATTAGCAACTTTTGAAGCTAGAAATGAGTTAGGGACGATCGATTGCATATCTGTTCCATACTGACCGATGTCGTGCAGATGAGTTCTTATCGGTACCGCTGCTCTCTTTCAGACGAAATTTAGTTGGATATCTTGAATTTTCCGATTTTGAGAGACTTTTGCAAATGATCTTTTACATGTGTCCCACTAAAGCTTTTGCACTGAAATCCAGGAGCTGTTCGTGAATATTCTGCCGCAATCCATTTTTGCTTACCCCGAGTTTTGCGCTTTTCGTCCAAAATTGAATGCAACTTTCGTCCAGTCCACCGTGTGTCCATTAAACTAATGGGAGCCATTTCACGTAACGTGCACCGCAATACCACATCTATAATCCGACCGAAAAAATGGACTGATATTTTTTTTAAAAAAACGAAGGTAAAGGATATATTTTATCTGAGGGAAAAAGAAACACGTTCATATAGCGCGGATAGTGTTTTGCAATCAGTTTTGCGTGCCAAATCTCAACGGGCAGTCCATCGTGCGTGTTTGTGTGCGCTCTTAGCGACGTCAAGCCTTCCGATTCACCAATCGAGAAAACGCGAGCTGAATATCAGAGCAACGCAAAGTTGACCAAATAGACGCTCGAATAATGGAATCTCTGTATAGCGACATGAATGAGTGATCAGTTATTAAAAAAGGGATGTTTCGCTCCGTGATGTGCGATTCGACAAGGAATTATGACAGGAGAGCACAAAAAGTGGTGGCCAAACACAAAACCAAATCGAATTTGCTACGCCTTCAAAAACAAAGGTACCGGCAGCAAGTATTTCCAAAGAAAAAATTAAACAGAGAGGACAATAGGTCTAGGTTACATGAATCATGCTCACTTGCCACACTCTCAAGGCGACGTGAGGGTGGCTGACACAAATCATGTTTCTGTCTTCTAATTACAACAAGTTTTGAAAAGCTGCAGTCTGATCAGCTGCCGGTTTTATTTATATATTTTCACACACGCCAGACTGCGTGCCAAACAAATCATGGTACAATAATATTTACGAAAAAGAAACACTCCATTATTTGCATGTAGGCGGAATGTTGCCAGGTTTCCCAGATCAAGGCAGGTGAGTTTTCTTGGTGAGTTCACAATCAGAGCTTTCGGCTAACCGAACCCTGACCTGCAAGGCAGCGAGCGGGGAACCAGTGTCCACT